AGATTAAATTCAGTAAATATACCAGTGCAACGAGAACTTGACAGAAACCAGGCAACCTAGTGATATATCTAAAATGGAAAAAAAGAGTGAAGCTAATAATAACATGAAACAAGTTTATCGTTCTTAAAATAAGTAAAAAAAAAAAAATCTGGTAATTATAATATTCCTTTATATATCGAATTAAGCTTGAAATCACAAGATGTAAGTGGGAATTGACGAAAATGTAAAATTTAGATGTATATGCGTATTCTACTTTCTTATTACATGTCTATTATTCTAAAGTCTTTCATTTATTTCTAGATATGAGCAGTTTTTCGCATAACTCGTAGTCAAGAGAATCGTTTTAGCTACCTTTGTTTTTTGTCATTCTCTTGGAGATACATAACACCTGGCGGCATCGCTGAAAAGCTGCACCTTTTGCATGTACATCGATAGAAGGTCCTTCAATGATAAGTCAGGAGATTATACTAACTAATGCGAGACTTAGACTATCTGGAACATCGTGTTGAATGAGTTGTGAAGTATGTTTTCAGGGATTAGAGTAAGCCTGATTGATTCACTACTCAGGTAAAAGCGTCCATCTAACGCCAATGCTACTATACACAGTGTTTTTGATTTTAATAAAGGCTGTTTTCATTGCGTTTAACACCTTGTATACAGTTTATTTATTTCTTATCGTAGTGTTAGCGAAACTTAGTGTTACTTCGCAATATATCTTTCCAAACTTCTCGTTCTATGGCGGATCTACGTCACCTACTTAATTTACTCTTTCCAAAAATTAGTATACCTGAAAATACCACACACAGACAAAGTAATCTTAACTTCTCAAGAATAAGAAGGAACCTATTTCTTATGAAAACCAAAAGTGATAATTATCTTAAACAGTCATTATTTCTTATATGAAATAAAATACAACAAGTTTTGCTGTTAAGTATAGTAGATAGAACCTTTATTCACAGCATCTGCTATCCGCAATCTCTATACAAACAACACCAGGTATTCGAAATGTCAAACACAAAACTAGAGTAATTAAACTTGAGATAAAAGTATTACAACGTTTCAAACACAGGTGTTAGAAGCATATTTTATCTTGCTCTACTTATTTTTTGTTAAAAAACAAATTGTAACACTTGAGTGAATATCAAATAAAACCTTGATAAAAGAGTTAGCACAAAAGATCACATATAAAGTGTAATAAATTTAAAATAAGACCCAAAACTCGAGCGATTTCGAATAGTTGACTATTCTTCTTCAGGAGAACATAGGATGTTTTTACGTGAGAAATGTGTTGATACGGGTATTTA